AGGATATAACTCAATATTTAGTTTTTACAAAACATCTTAATACTTTCACTAATACATAAATCTAAACTACCTGCAAAACAGAAGTGGAGCGAACTGATAATAATTCAACATTTAATGATGAAGAATCCCTTTCTACTTCCTTACAAATGCTTTCATTAAGACTTCTTCGCAACAATCTGATACAAATATAGGAAACTCTGATTTAGCATCAGCCCAAATAGCTAAAGTTCAAAAACCAAGTAAATACATTAATTAGAATATAGCAGATGATATTTTAAAAATGTATCAGATAAGTATCCTGCCAGGTGAAAAACTTATATTTAATGGTACACAGAACATGGCCAAGAAACCAGTCAAAAAAGCTGAGGTTTGTGATCAATATAGATTGCACAAATTGTATTTTTTTTATTTACATATCTGTGTTTTTTCCCCTTAAGAATGCTTGTTAGAGATCATATTTTGAGTTCATAGAATATGAACAAAATGATGAAGGGTTATTAGTATTATTATCACTGCTGAGTAAGGTCAGGATATAACTTAATATTTAGTTCTTACAAAACATCTTAATACTTTTGCTAACTTTTTTGAATATATAGATTTAAACTACCTGCAGAATGGAAATGGAGCGAACTGATAACAATTCAATATTCAATGACGAAGAATCCTTTCTGCTCCCTTACAAATGCTTTCACCAAGACTTCATCGCAATAATTTGATACAAATATAGGAAACTCTGATTTAACGTCAGCTCAAATAGCTAAAGTTCAAAAACCAAGTAAATACATTAATTGAAATATAGCAGACGATATTTTAAAAATGTATCAAATGAGTATCCTGCCAGGTGAAAAACTTATGTTTAATGGTGTAAATATATTGAATTCCATGTTATTAGATATGAAGAAAATGAAGAAAACTAAAGTGGCAAAGAGTTTACTTAACATTCATGTCATTAATTTCCACAACCTTGATTGCATGAAATATTTACCTCATAATTATAGTAACTATATTGCAGATCAAATTCAGGATTAAAATAGTGAGACTGACAATTTTGCTAATGGAAAAAAAATCGATAAATTTATTGTGGATTGTGACACAATGAAAATATCTATATGATTTTCAGTATACATGCTACCCAAATTATTTTAGGATGCCATAATTATAATTTGGGATGCCATAATTCATTCGGTTTATATATAATTTACTATGTAAAGTGCCAAAATAATTTGGGATGCCATAATTGAATTTGGGATTTTACTTATAATTACGGCAGTCCAAAATAATTTGGGTGGCATGTATAATTTTCAGTCAAACACCTTTCTAAAGTTTCTAAATCATTTACTTCATAAAATTTATTCAAATAATTCAGAATTTATTCATCACAAATGATCTTATATATGTACAGAACCTATTTTATCCCTTTTTCTTTCTGCTTAAGAATGACTTTTTAACTCAAAATATGTCAGAATATAAGTTTAACTCTTATATTTAGACGCCATTATTGAGAAATGCGTTTCTTGAAAAAAGTGATTTTAAGCTAAACTATGGGAAATTAGCATTTAAATTATACAAAAAACTAAAAGAACTTTTGAATATTATTAGTGGCTATAGTGCTCCAAAATTAGACAGAAAAGGCTTTTTCAAGTCTTTGGGAACTAAAATCTTTGCTCAAGAGGACAGCATTCTAAATACAAGAGGTAAAAGAAAAGGCAATCTACAAAAATTAGAATATTGTTTAAAGGTTATATTAATAGCTCTTTTTATTGCGTTACCTTCTTTTACTAAATAAAGCCAGTATTACAAATATTGAAATATATAGTATTCAATCAAATGGGTTTCGTCTGACAATCTTAGTTTCAAAGTATCTGTTTGAAGATACTATTATAACAATAGACTTGCAAGATGTGGAGGTCCCAAGAACTATTAAAGAGTTTTTAAATCTGGTAATGGCCGTAAAAGTAATCTTATCTTAGAAGACATACACTAAAAGGAATATGATAGCATTTTACAAAGCATTAAAGATAGATCGTAAGTATATAACAAATGGTGTTAAGTTTTCACCAAAAAAAATGTTAAAAAGACAGGATTAGGATTCTGCATCTAGTCAGTAATGCCATCATATTCTTCTATTTTTTTCTGTATTAGCTTAGATATGTAAGAAAAAGTTTTAAAATTTTAGAAAAAGTAGTATATGTGACCATGACATTAATAATAGTTATAAAAAGTCTTAAAAATTTAAATTTTCTTTAAATTATTTTGTTTAATTTTAATGAAATTTTTATTAATTTACATTTTTTACTAATTATATTTAAATTAAATATAATAATCAAGTCATCAAATTGCTAAGTATTTATAATTGAAATTGCAAAAAATGCAATAAATGAGAAATTAATAATTAAAATTGCTTCAAATTTTGTAGATTTGTTGCCAAATGTATTACTATTATATATATAAATTATTAGCCTTCTATCTTATTTCTTTGTTTTACAATTGATTTTTTAATTCAAAAAAAAAATTGTATTCTGATACAATATTCAAATTGCAATTCATTAAAAGGTTAATGATTATAAATTAAAGTTTACATCAAAATAATTTTATTAAAAAAAATTTGACACTTTTTTATAAGATTAAAGTTTCTTTATTATATTGATTACAACTTAGCCTAACTCTTATTTTAGTAAAAAGAACTAAAATTCAAATTAAATTAAATTATAATAATTATGAAGGATTAATATTCAAATGTTTAAAAAAATATCAATTAAAATAAGTATAATATATTTAAAACTTATTTTATTTTAATGATTTTTAAGTCAACATTAATGTCAATTTATAGAAAAACTAACTAATTAAGGTAATAACCAAATTTTTTAATAAATCAATTAAAGATATATTCTTATTCTATGATTTTTTATTATAATTATACATGTTGATTGTTAATAGCTAAGGACAATATTATTATCCTTATTAAATTTTACCTTACTTAAATTTTTAATGGTTTTTTTTGTTTTAAAAAAAAATCAATCAAAAGGCAAGGAAATAAGATAAAAAACTGAAATTTTATACACTTAATATCAACCCATTTGGCAACAAATCTGTAAAATTTGAAGCAATTTCAATCACTGGTTTCTCACTAATTTCACTAATTGCATTTTTTGCAATTCCGATTACTTTTTGCCAGCATTGTAGATCGTGAAATTTCAATGATTCTGCGCAGTTGATCCTACATGTAATTAATATGTGAAATGAAATTAATTGGATTCTTTAAAAATGACGAGAAAACAACCATTTTTAAATTCTAAATTACCAATTTTGGATTAATATCGATCAGACCTTTTACTATTGTATGAAAATAAATAAATAATAAATAAATAAATAAATAAATAAATAAAATAAAATAAATAAAATAAATAATAAATAAATAAATAGTAAATAAATAAATATACAGTGTAAACAAGTTTAAATTGATTTACTTTTAATTTTCTTTNNNTTTTTTTTTTTTTTTTTTGCTGCAAAATCATAAAATTATTATTATTTAAAATAATAAAATATAAAGATTTGCTGCAAAATCATAAAAATATTATTATTTTAAAAAAAAACTCTCACAGGACAAATCATATTGAATCATTATTTGCTATATTTTTCCCCTCAATTAGTTTAAAGAAAATCAATCACAATTGGTTAAAAACGAATTATATAAATATAAATAGGATTTTTTTTTTTTTTAACTATTTACAAAGAGAGATGAAAAAAAAAATTCATATCATTTTTCTGTCCGAAAAAGAAAAATTAAATACTTGCGAAAATTCGAAAGGACGGCTTTTTTTTTAAACATTAAAAAATAAATTTCGATGTAAATAACGAATAATATAAAATTATTATATTTCCAAAAAGGAAAAACAAGAAAAAAAAACTTTCTTTTTCGATCAAGAGAATTTAAATGCTATATATATAGTGAGAGTTTTTTTTAACATAGATAATTGAGAGTATATATTATATTTATACAAATAATATTGAACTTTAAATATAATTAGTTACGAAAAATATGTATACGAAAATGGAAAAAGGTTTTTATAAAAATGTACATTATTATTATTTTTTTTAAAAAAAAATAGCTATAGGGAAAATTTTGACTTGTATTTTTTCATTATGGTATTTTACTTTTTTTTTTTTTAAAAAAAAAAAAAAAAAAACATATTACATAATTTTATTTTTAGCCTTTTTTGGAAAATTGTTAATTATAAAAATCGTCATAAAAAAATCATAGAAAATTTAAATTATAATGTGGGAGAGGGAAAAAAGAAAAAAAAAAGAAGCGATATAAAAGAAATTTAGATAATCGTGATGCAAAAAATACCTTATTACATTTTCTTAACTAAAATAAGGAAATTATTCACATAATTTTTTATAATCGTCCAACATAATGTTTTTCTTAAGAGGAATCATCACTACTTTCATCACTATGATTATCACCCAAAATCAATCTCAAATTTAACGGATGATGTTGAGTATAATTAGGAGGCGAAGGTTCTATTGGTGATGGGGATGATGAAAAATAATTTTCTTGTGGCTGTTGTGATGACCATTGAGATTGTTCTGGTAAAGGAAGTGTTGGACAACATTCGCGTGATGTTTGAGAAGATTCATTACACGAATATTGTGAAATGGATTTTTTTGGAATTATCCACATCCGCTTGCCTTCTTTATGATTGATATAACATGGAGATAATTGTGTCTGATCTTTTTCTATATTATCAACAGGAAATTCTTCAACAGTTTCACAAAAACAAAGATCTCCTTCTTTAGTTTCACAGAAAACAGGGTTATTAATTATGTCCTCAACGGACTCAACAGATTTTGTTGGTGAGCTTGGTTTCTGTTGATAACGTTGTTCATTGAATGAAAATGACGAAATGGCGGACAATCGATTACCTGGCGACACATACGATTTTTGTTTAAAGAAAAAATTAAAATGGAATATTATTGTCGTATTCACTCACTCACCGCGGTGTTTTGAAATTCAAATTTTAAATCATGTGCGGAATACGCACATGATTTGAGATTTTTATATGCGCAACTTTTAAATTATGTGTAAGTCGCATTTTTTTATGATACAAAATTTTTGTGTGCCTTTTTTACGCACACAAAAATTTTTTTATGAAAGAGTACATAAAAAAATTTTTCATGCACGGTTTTAAAAAATTTGTGTACGCGCGCTTTTCGCACATTGAATTTCAAACATTTAAGTGAGCGAGTGAATCTATTGTAGTTCAAACTCTACTATAAAACTTGAGACCCTAGCTAAGTTGCTAAGTTGCTAAGTTTAGGATATTTGAAATCCCAAACCTAATTTCGGATATGTTATTATTCTAGCCTTGATTTGAATTGGGCTCTCAATCAAACACGACAAGTAGAGCAGCTCTACAACGTTCTATATAAAGATAAATTTAAAAATTACATACCATCATATGTGCCATTACTTATGGAAGTGTCACCAGGAGCGTCGCTTTCTTGGTATACGGATGTGTTGCATAATTTATCATTTTGATTTCCTTGAGTTTGCGCATTTGCAAGTCTTCTTTCAAGTAAGTTCAGCCGGTCTCGTAAAAGTTTAATATCATTTTGAGCTTCGTTATATAATATCTCATAAGTGGTGGCCTTATTTTCCAAAGTACGAACATAATCTTCGCGTCTTCTGCGAAAAGCTCTTTGATTCGTCAAGTTTTGGATATGTTTTTTCTATAATTTCAAAAAAAAAAAAAAAAAACCGCACGTTTCACGTTGTAATAATAAATAAGTATAACATGTTTAAAGCAATTATTTTGTTGATAAATTAAAGTAAAAAAAAAAATTATAAATTTGACGAAAAATTACTTACAGTTTCGGGCATTTTTGATAATGGTTTACGTCCTCTCTTGTTTTGTTTGCTCATTGAGGACATGGGTTCTGTGAAACGTGACAAAAATTCAAATAAAAATATAACTTAAGATGTTTTATGTGATGAAAACAACTTACGACATGTCGTAGGTAGGTTTATTGGTAATTGAGTTTGTTGTGTCCAATTATTGGGAATCAACATGTCCGAAAATTTAGTGTTTGGCGTAAGCAAAGAAGTTGGTGAAAGCCTCGGTATTGGAAGCTTGAGAGATTGAGAAGGTGTCGATTGTTGTCCAGATACATCCATATTCATCGGTTGTTAATGGTTAAAAGAAAGGTCTTTAAAGGAGAAAGAAAAAAAGTGGATATCATGCGCCTCAATTTCCATAAAATTTCGCATTAAAAAGTAATAATAAATATGCTTCATAAATATCAATGATTGGTTGAAACCATATATTTTATTTTTTGTTAAGAAAAAAAAAAAAAATTTTTCTTAAAAACGAATTAAATATGCACGTGTGTGTTTAGTAAAATTAACTTGCTAAACAAAAGAAGATCATATCCTTTTTTTTTTAGAGCTCATTACTTTTGCAAGATCATCATTTTTCAATATGTAACAAAGAAAGTATAGTCCCCCGGAAAATTGATTATCTTTATGAACGTGGACGAACGATTCGTTCAGAAAACTTGGTATATATGCAGGCCGCTTTATTAAGCATATCTGTTTTTTCCTTATTATACTTAGGTTTTGTGGACGCTATAATAAGATTTTTTCACACAATGCGCCAAATAGAATGAATGTCATATTGTGTGAATATTATTCATAACAATAAAATCTAGAACAAAGTAAAAGGAATTATGACGTTTTAGGTACTTAGTGAATGAGTATGAAACCGAATTTAAGTTACTCCACGAAATTATTTTTTTACGCCATTATCCCGATTCAAATATTTATATATTTACTTTTGTGAAACCAACTGTCAAAATTATAACCCATTGTTGGTCAATTATTAATTTTTAACCAAAAGTATGAAATTTATTATTGTTACATGTTGATCCAAAACTAATATAGACATAATTGGTATTTTTAATTTGAAATTTTTTCCTTTTTTATATATATTATAAAAAAAATATAAGATTATCATCAAATAAAAGATTATAACAAATCAAATTTATGGGATATTCCACGTTTAGATTTTACTCCACAAAAATATTTTTTTTTACATAAAATTAAAACATACGACACATGTTTATTATTTATATTAGTTATTATTTGTATTTAACAAGTTACAGTACCTGTTTCTCCCCCATGATTAAATATTACCACAAATGTACTGTTAATACAAATGTTTAATTTTAAGAAAACTTGGTAAACTTTGATAAATAAATTAGATAATATACAATTTCACATGTATAAAAAAATAAAGTTAATGAACACAAAATAATCTGATCCATCCGAGCGCAAAAAAAAAATATTTTAACCTTCGAATTAGTTCTTTATTAGCATATTTGTGAGACCATTTTCTTTCGATTTATTCCAAAATAATATGCAAGTAAGCACTTTCAAAGTAATAATGATTTGTCTTGTTTTTTAACCGTATCAGATCTACTATTATAGTAACCTGCATAAGTCTATGTAAGGTTATAAAGCATAAGTTTGTGTAGATTCACTTCCAAAAAAATTAATTATCCTTGACTTGTATCACTTTACTTTCGACTTGTATAGTATGTAATACAATCTATGCTTTTTTTTTTTATGTATTAAAAGTATGCAAAGAATAGTATTATTGATATGTCGCTATATATAATAATTTTTCTTCAACCCGTTGCAATGGAATATCATTTGCGGATAACAAAAAAAAGTATTACGAAATATATATTCTTAATAATAATATAAATAGGTATTTTGCTAAATACTGTAGTATTAGATGTGATAGGAAAATATCCATATTTTTCTCATATTTAAAAGATTCAATTTAGTAATATTTATTTGAAAATTTGTTAAAATGTTAACATAGTAGTCAATAAACCGTTATAAGCATAAAGCTAATTATTATTAAAACTGAAATTAAAATTTTGATATAAGGCTAAATTTTATAGACTTATTATATGAATTGACTTTTTAAAGCATAAAAATGATAATAAAATAAAATGTCTTAATTTTGAATTACTATTTGTTTTATTGATTATATTATAATATATAGCAGAAAAAAATGTAATTAAATATGGTAATTTATGATCTTATCATATTTATTATCATTATTATTATCTTAATATCCTTAAAAATGGTTTAAAAAAAAAAAAAATTTGAGATACTGTATATAGAAGTATTAAATACTATAATTATATATATATTTAAAGTAAATAATTTATTATTTGTTTTTGAAATATTTTATTAATAATGATTTATTTAATTTATATCTACTTTAACTTTAATCTGAAATATTAAATAAGTAAAATTTTATGATTTTTTTAGATTCTTTTTATATAATGAATTATTATTATTAATACTTAATTTCATTTTTATTAATATTTACATTTATTTTTTAGTTAGATTTGCTTAATTTACAAATAAATTTTAAAATAATGCTTTTTATCAAAATATTATCATATTAACATCTCATTTAATAATATTATTATATTATTACTGCTGTAATTTTCACCTTATTAAACTAATTAAAGTAAAATTTTGTGTAAAATTAAAAATATCATGAAATTCTACCTATTAATATTTGCTAATGCTAATGCAATAAAAATCATTTGTAGTAAGATTTAGTAATGCCTATATTTCTTTTTCTTTTTTTTTAAAAAATTTGAATATGATAAATTTAATAATAAATATTATAAAATTCAGTAATTCCAAATTTAAATTAATTGATATTTATATTGTAGTACTCTTTATAAAAATAATATTTAACTTTCTTATTTCTGAATAATTTAAAAATTTTATATATATTAGTATATTATATTTTCTTTATGAATTTTGCTAATTTGCCCCTGAATTAAATAATCTGGGTTAAATTACCCTCCTAAAATTTATATTTTACATCAATATTTTTTTTTTTAAAAAAAAAAAAATTATTTGTATTATTGTTATTATTCAATATTATAGCTAATTTTCTTATATTTTTGATAATATCTTTCATTTTTTATTGTAATTATAATTTACATTTTTTTTTTTAAAAAAAAAATTTGGGCAAAATTATATAAATTTACTAGTAAGTTAAATTACCCAGATTAAATCACCTTATATATATATATATATATATAATCTTATACTTTTTTTATTTATTTTATAAAAATAAATTAATTTTAAAAATAATTTAAAATTATTTAAAAATATTTTTTTATTAATATATTATTAAATATTTCTTAAAATACATCACAAATTATATGATTTTATTAATTTTGTTTAATCACGTGGTATTAGTTATACTACGCAAAAATTATTTACGTTATGATTTGTTTATTACTACTACGCAAATCGCCATATACTTTACTTAATAAAATACTGCAAAACTTTGTCATACTTTCCAAAATAAAAACCCTTTTAAATTGTATACTAAAATATTACAAAAAATATCAAACAGATTAATATTCAATATCAATAAACTAGCTTTCTGTTTATTTTTAGTTATATTTTTTTTGCTTTTTATTGACTAATACTTTTGTTTTTCTTTTCTTTTTTTATTTTAGTTTTCGTTTCAATATTTGTATGACTTCGATAATAAATTTAAAAATAATAATTAACCTTCTTTAATAAAAGATGTTAGTATATATAGATACTTATTTAGAAAAACTGGAAGACTGTCAAAAAATTAATGATAATACAAACATTAATATTAATACTTCTCCGCAAGTAAGTATTATTTCTCTTTAAATATATAATTAACTTTTTTTTGCTTTTTATTAACTAATTTTTTTTTTTATTTGTTAGCCTTCTGTTCAACTTTCATACAGCTTTATTCTTAATAGCAAATTTAGAAATGATCACTAGCATAATGTTGTTATCACTGGTGAATGTAATATAACTGAATTGCTTAATACTAATTCAAAAGAAGCGAAAGATCTGAAATTAAAGATTGGATTTACCTTTTCAAATTGAACAGAATTTAAAATATAGATTAAAAATTTTGCTAAAACAAAGGAATTTAACTATAAAATTAAGACTAGTCAGACAGATGGAAAAGTAATACATCATATTACTTATAAATATTCAAGATCAGGCATCCATAATTTGCAAGTAACTTTTGACTCAACTAAAAGATGAAATACAACTTTACAGCATATACAATGCCTGTAGAAAATAACATTGCTTGTTCTAAGTCAAGTAATGTTATTAGAATAACTTATTTGATGACAACTATAATCATGTTTTACCTCAAATATACAACTGAAGAAATGGCTTCACAATTTTAAAAATTAACTTCAGAAATGTTATGTGACATAAAATATGTCATTCAAGGACAAATGGATTCTGTATTTATTTATCCAATACTTATGCATAATTATCCTAACTAAATAATTGTTAAAAAAGATTTATATAATACAGTATATATACCAATTTTATCCAAATGATTCAGATACATTTCAAATGCTTCAAATGTTATTAAATTGGAAAGATTCAGATCCATTGTGGATCGTTAAATCATGTCTTAAAAAATTAAGCTATTTACACAGGTCAAAATGCTAAAAATTGGCAAAAAAAATGGCGTGAAAAGCAGTGGTTATTTTTGGCTATTTTTGGCTGTTTTTGGCTATTTGTGAATTAACCTATACTATTTGTAAATAGTTTATACAAATTTACGAATAGTTTATGCAATTTGTGCTATTTTTTTGCCTGTTTTTGGTCATTTGACATGTGTTATTGTAGATATCCTTACTGCAATAAGATTTATATGAAAGATTTTATGATGCTATAATTCTGGACTATCAAAACTGATATGTACTAGGAGCTATCTGATATATTTAAAACATTTCTTCATAAAATACAGACTAAAATCAATAAAAATGAAAATTATATTACTTATGTCAAAAATTCAAATATCATCAAACATAAAGACATCTACCAAAAAGGTTGCAATCAAATGTTGAAAAATCCTTCTCTAAAAATAAACATGTATTAAGAAATAACTTACGATCAATATTTATAATGATGAAAATGCAAAAAATATAAAGGGTAGTAAAAGGCGTAGGTATAAAAAATACAAACAGTACAAAAATTATATTACAATTTACCAGGTTTCAGTGTCTTAAAGTATGTTATTTATTAAGTTTGTTAGTTTGTATTTGTTGTAATAATGTTTATTGATTTTGTTATTTTTACTATTTTTGTTAGAACTGTTAGAATCGTTAGGTTGTTAGGTTGTTAGAAGCATTATTAGGATAGATTATTAGAATCATTATAGTATTATTAGATTCGTTTAATAGAATTTGACTTCAAATAAAATAGAACCTTATTCTACTGC